CTTTTTTGTTTCTTTCCATTTTGGGCTTCCACCTCATTCCGGAGCTAGCNGGGCCTTTGTCCCTTTCCCTTTTTTGTTTCTTTCCATTTTGGGCTTCCACCTCATTCCGGAGCTAGCCGTTTTGAGCTGGCCCACAAAAAACGGCTAGTTCCTCTCCACCATGAGATCTGATCTCAGATCCATGGTCCAAAAGAAAACCGACCATTTCTCTTTTGCATTTTCTTTGATTTTCTTCTTTTTAATTCAGGTTTTATTGAGATATGGCCATATCTCTGTAATCCGGATTGCCCTCCCTCATTCTAGGAGGATGAGGTTACAGTTGGGACCTGCCAGTCCCTACTGTGCAGGTCCCAATAGGCCGACATACTCTCCTCCACTCTTTTCTCTTTGTCTCATTCTCCCTCCTTTTTCTCTCATTTTTCTTTCTTTTTCTTTTATTTCAATTGTGACAAGTGTCAAACTGTTGTGCACCCTCTTTCTAGGTCTTAGGGCCTCATCCAGGGCCAGGTTCATAGGTTCATGGCTGGTACTTGGCCGTTATATCTCGGATTCCAACAATGGCACCCCCATGCTCCTAGAGGGTTCCACTTTGCCTCCGTTTGTTCAATGTTGAGCCCCCTTTGCTCCGATTTTCTAAGGACAACCTTTTTCTCATGTTGAGCCTCTTGAGGCTCTATTTTCTCATGCCTAGCTAGTCCGAGATATTTCGGAATGCTGGGCAACCCTCCCAACACCATTATTTTTACTTTCTTTTCTCCCATAACTCTCCCACTTGCCCCCACTAGTGTTTGCATTAGTGGTGCTAATATTTCCCACTGTCTAGATCCTTGATCTTGACGGTGCCGTTTGCTTGCACAATTATTCCTTGTGCTTGCTCATGGTTCCCTTGGGACATCCCAAGTCCCCGCCACTTTTCTCCATACTAGTTTCATTTTCTTGTTCCGTCGGCGGTCCCACCGGCGCGTTCCGTTTTTCGACTTTTATTATTTGGACCCACTTGGTCCCCGACAACATTTCGGTCGGTGTCCCATTTTTATTTTTGGGGCCCCTTGCCCTGGGTGTGTCCCATCATTTTTACATGCGTGCCGATTTTTTTAGGCCGTGGTCGCCGTTTACCGTCTCCCATGCCAAAATTGCTCCTTTCTAGCCTTTTGGGCTTGTCGTGGCTCATTTTCCCTTAGCCTAGGCATCCCCATGCAGTCCGTTATTTCTCGGACTGCAATCCTGACCATTTTTCTAGTCCCTCAGCCCCACAACTTGCCCCATGCTAAAAGAAAATGAAGCGTTAAATTTCTAAGTGCATCCGGGCTCAATATTAGTTCCGGATGCACAAAAAACATGTGTTTCTCCTCCCCTATGCAATCCGTTATTTTTCGGTTGCATGGGGCTTTGATTTTCTTTGAGTTTCTCCGCAAAAATCAAAGAAAATCGAAGTCCATTGCAACCGCCATATTCTNCAACCGCCATATTCTAGAATGAATCTGGTCATGGATGTATCTTCCCAAGTGACCATTTTTTATCGTTAAGGCCTTTTTTTCTTTTCTCATATTCTCTTTTTTTTTTTTTTTTTTTTCCTCCTTTCTTGGTCAGTAGGGACTGGCAGCAGTCCCTACTTGTGGCAGTCCCTACTAACGGCCAACTCACTCACTCCCTCTCACTCTTTTTGTCTTATTCTCCCACATTTTCTTTTCTTTTCTCTCTTTTTTCTAGCATGCTAAGTGTCAAGTGGCCGTTAAGGCCCTTTTCTAGCCCCTTCCTCTTAGTCTTGGCCCTTTCTATGCCCAAGGTGCAGTTCGTTATATCTCGGACTGCAATAATGGCCCTCTCATGCCCATGGGAGCTTCCTTTTAGTGCTGTTTTTCTCCCATAGTGGTCCCTCGTACTCCGATTTTCTCCCGGAGGCCCATTTTTCACATGGGGTCTCTTTTGACTCCATTTTCTTGAGGGAGGCTGATCCGAGATTTTTCGGATTGCTCTTATGCCTCCCACTTCAAGTTTCTTTACTTTTTCTTTTCCTTTTGGCCTTCCCGTTTGCTACCGCTAGTGCTTGCACTAGTGGTGCTAATATTCTTGGCCGTCTAGATCTTGATCTTGACGGTGCATCTTGCCTTTATTATTTTCCCTCATGCGGTGCCGCCGTTTCTTATTGGGACTTTCACTTATCCCCGCCATTCGTCCCGACGATGGTCCCCGACACTTAGTCCCATCGGTGGTTTCCGACATTTAGTCTCGTCGGTGGTACTCGACATTTAGTTCCGTCGGTGGTCCTCGGCACTTAGTCCCTCGTGGCCCCGGGTGTCTTTCCCCAAGGTGTCCCACGTCCCTTGGGCGCTTTGCCGCCCCACGGTGACCCTTCTCCCTTGTCTTTCTTGCGCCTTGCACGCGCCCGTCTCTTTTGTCGTGGGGCCTCCAACCCGAGGCTCCCGTAGGCGGCCCTATGTGGGGTCCTTGTTCTCTAGTTTCCCACGGCCTTCGGGGCCGTCCATTTCTCGACTTCCTCATTCTTCTGTTGCTGCCGTACCGCGTTTGCTGGTTCGAGGGCCCCTTGGCCTTAGCCCTGTTGAATTCCAACGACCCTCCTGGCCTCATGCTATATCATATGTGCCCCTGTTCTTGTGCTTACTTGCTTGTCGTCGCTGGTTCTCTCCCCCTGTGGTTTTCACCCCCAGGCCTCAGTTCCTGTTGTGGCGTAATCCTTTGTCTTTTCTCTTTCTAACCTCCTTGCTCCAGATTTTTCTACCGTGCAAATTCTGGTCATATACAGTCTCTCGAGTGATGGGAAGTTATTCGGGACTCACGAGTCGCGACACCGGTAGACGCAGTGGAGGTTCTCGGTCAAGGAGTCCAGTTGACCCCAATGCTCCTCTATGGGAGAAAACGGGTCTCACTGAGGACGTGTGGAGAGATCTGTACACACGACAGGCATGTATCCGTTGTGGCCAATATGCCCATAACCAATTCAAGTGCCGAAATAAGAAGGTGACCGAAAAGATCCCGCCTACGATGGGGCTGGCGTTGGGATCCCCTGCTCCCATTGGTAGCAATGTTGCCAGTACTCAGGCATTGCTCCGGGAAACACGCCGGGCGAGTAGGAATAGTAGTTGTTGCTGCTAAGGTCGAGGTGGTGGACACACCCTCACCATCTCGAGAGATGGCCCAGGCTACTGACTCCATCGTCGTCCCGCAAACACGTTCAGACCCATCGAGCCTCTGTTCGATGAATGTGTTCGAGTCCTTAGAGGAGCTAGAGGAGTGGTCTAGATCAGACCCGCTAGTTTCTTGGACAACATTGGTCAAAACCCCTAAGAGTGAGATGGTCGTCAACGAGGTGGTCATTGGCGGCCGCAAGGCCGGGGCCGATTATGACACTTGCTCGACACAAAATTTCATTAGTCGCGCATGCGTTGAGAGGCTGCGCAACGCCTGAGTGGACATGTGGAGTCGACCTGTGCCAACTAATAGCGCATGGTACTCAACGGCTACCTCCAGGATGTTGAGTGTTGTTACCCGTACGTGGGAGGGGAATTGAGACATCGTGTGTCGTTCCTAATGAGCGATGAACTCCCCATGGATATCTTGTTAGGTATGTACTACCTCTCTGTGGCACAGCCCCAGTTTGACTGGGACCGAAAAGTGGTCAAACACACTTTGCCAGGTGGAGGGAGCGCCAAATTACGTAAGTTCAAAGCTAGTAGTCTGATCAATTCCTATGGATGCATGTGTGTGGCCGCATTCTATAATTATTATAAGCAAAATCAGGAGGAGGGAGTAGTTGCTAAATACCTTGATCTATTTGAAGAGCCGACAAGGGTTGTTGAGAGGGAGGTCGTCCACGCGATAGAGACTATCCCAGGGTCTAGCATTCCAAAGGGTAGGATCTATCGGATGTCTCCAGGCGAGCTTGATGAGCTTCGCCGACAACTAAAGGAACTCGTAGAAAAGGGTTGGATCCGACCGAGTGTTTCTCCTTATGGGTCTCCAGTCCTATTTGTACCGAAGAAGAAGGAAGGAAGACTTAGGATGTGCATTGACTATAGGGGCCTCAATGCCATCACGGTGAAGAACAGAGAGCCCCTACCGCGCATCGATGACTTGCTAGATAGTGTGCAAGGGTGTCGGTATTTCAATAAGATAGATCTGAAGTCCGGGTACCATCAGGTTGCAATCTGGCCCGAGGATCAACACAAAACCGCTTTTCAGACCAGGTACGGTCTGTATGAGTTTGTGGTGATGCCTTTCGGCCTTTGCAATGCTCCTGGCACCTTTCAGCACATTATGAATCGGATATTTCATGATTACTTGGATAAGTTTGCCATCGTGTACCTCGATGATATACTTATTTTTAGTAAGACTGTCGAGGAGCACGTTGTGCACGTGGACAAAGTCCCTAGTCTTCTGCGACATCACAAGTTCAAGGTCAACGGTGAGAAGTGCGAGTTTGGCTGCACCCGTGTCTTGTACTTGGGTCATGAGATTTCCGCTGAGGGACTAAAGCCCGATGACGCGAAGGTGGCCAGCATCCGTGACTGGCCGCGTCCTCAGTCTGTGGGTTGAATGGCTATTATTGCAACTTCGTGAAGAACTATAGCATAGTTGCCGCCCCTTTGACTGACCTAACTCGCCTTGACACCCCATGGGAGTGGACAGACAGATGCGAGGGTGCTTTCAGACATCTGAAGCATGCGTTGACGCATCATGAGGTCTTGAAACTTCCTGATCCTAACAAGCTATTTATAGTAACTACGGATGCTAGCTAATATGGCATAGGCGCCGTACTTGCACAACAGGAAGGGAAAAAGTTCAGGCTGGTAGAGTACATGTCCAAAAAGATGCCCTCTCAGAAGTTGGCTAAGTCCACCTATGAGAAGGAGCTCTATGCAATCTACAAGGCGCTCACCCATTGGAGGCACTATCTCCTTGGGAGGTTCTTCTACGTCAGGACTGATCATTAGACCCTGAAGTGGATGAGAACCCAACCTGTGCTCTCCGACGCTCTGAAGTGTTGGATTGAAGTCATAGAGCAGTATGACTTCGAGCCCCAATACATCAAGGGCGAGTACAATAAGGTTGCTGATGCGCTGTCGCGTAGACCTGATTTCTTAGGTGCGCTGATTACTGAGTTCGATCTTACGGACGATGTTACTCGGTCCTTGGTGGGAGCCTATCGCGAGGACCAGTTCATGTCTGAGATCATACGCAGACTTCACGCGAAGGATGGGAAGACTTCTGCCGAGTTTGAGTTGGTCAATGGCTTGTTGTTCCTTGAGAAGGCAGGGAATAAACGGTTTTGTGTCCCAATTAGAGAGTCTTTGCGTAGTTTATTTTTAGGTGAGTGTTATGATGCCACCGTCCATTTTGGCTATAAAAAGACAGCAGCCAATCTGCTGCAGCGGTTCTGGTGGCCCACGATGATGTGAGATGCCGAGCTGTGCGTGGAGACCTGTCAGGTCTGTCAGAGAGACAAGCCACGTACTCAGGCTCCTCTTGGGCTCTTGAAGCCCCTTCCGATTCCGGAAAGGCCTGGTGAGAGTTGGTCCATGGACTTCATGGATACGCTGGTCACCAGCAAGAGCGAGATGAGACATATCTTTGCCATTGTGGACAGATTTAGTAAGTATGCTAGGTTGATAGCCATACCGGAGACAGCGAAAACCGAGTACGTTATCAGACTGTTCAAAGAGAACTGGGTAAGAGATTTTGGTCTACCCAAGTCAATCGTGAGTGACAGGGATGTCAGATTTACAAGTGAGTTGTGGAAGGCTGCTGCTGCCGAACAGGGAACGCAGCTGCAGATGACCTCGGGTAATCACCCTGAGGCCAATGGCCAGGCCGAACAATTGAATCGCGCTGTCCAACACCTGTTGCGGCATTACGTCAAGCCCAATCAGGTCGACTGGGACGAGAAGCTTGCTCTCATCGCCAGTCTGTATAACAATGCTGTGCACAGCACCACTGGAGTGAGCCCTAACAGCCTGCTACTGACCTTCAAACCTAGACTGCCTCTATACTTCTTACTACCTGAAAATCAGTCAACTGCTGCACCCGGTACTTCCGAATTTGCATACCGAAATGAGCAGAAGATGCAGCAGGCAGTATAACAGATGTAAAAGGCACAGGCGGCAATGATAGAATCTGAAAACAGACACCGCCGCCCGTCTACATTCCAGGTTGGGGACAGAGTCTGGGTTAAGTCCTCAGAATTGGGACAGGAGCACGGGATCTCCCGCAAGCTCATGCCTCGATACTTTGGACCATGGGAGGTCTTAGACATTGTCGGGACTGATCTAGATGGGCCGTCTTATGTAATCCGGATCCCTGGTCATCTCCGCACATATCCCGTCTTTCACGCCTCTAAGCTTGCACCCTTTGAAGGAAACAGACCATTTTCCCTCATGTCGCTCAATGCTGCCCCCAACCATTGACGGAGAGGTGGACATCGATAACATCGTGGATCACAGGGAGCTGCCAGTGCCAAGACCGACCGGCAGGGGACGTCCTCCTAAACCGAAGCTGCAGTACCGCGTTCGGTTCCGGCATCATATTGATCCAAAGGAAGATCGATGGTTCACCAGGGAGGAACTCATGCAGACCGCTCCTCAGGTTGTAGACCAATACGACAAAACTCTGCAGAATGGAAAGCGTTCGATGATTGAAGACTGAGCCTCTCAGAGGACTGTTGAAGCTATGGAGGAGGGAATGCTAGGCCACAGCCTCGATGAGCCCCTTTCAGGCCCTCTCAAGCAGCACGTCGGCCGCCCTAAGTGAAGGCAGGCTCGACGAGGACCTGAGGGCCCCTATTTCGGCCACCACGCAACTAAGGAAATTCAGGCAGTTGCGCAGCGCCAGTTGGTTGAAAGAACCCAGGCCCTGGGCCGCCTGTTTGCATGTATCGAAGGCAGGCCCTGGGCTGGATACAAGCAACCACCTCAGGCCGAAGGCAGTTGGGCACAAGCAACCACCTCAGGCCCTGGGCCTGATTTGTTTCGGACTGGGCCTCAGCCTACCTGGGCCTACTTGAAGCTTCTTGGGAAAGGCCCAGCTCAGCCTGGGACAGAACGCAGGCAGGCCACTTCCATATAGCAAAGGGCCTGCCTCCGCATTGGACATTCGGGTGCTGGCTGCATGCTGCGCAAGTGCTGCTCGGCGCGCTCACGGGCTAGCTGGGAGGAGCAGGCAGCCATAGCCGAGCTGCGCTGCTGTGAGCTGGGTGTGGCGCAGGGTGGTCCTTGGGTGCATGTGGCATCTGTGTGTTGGGGAACGAGGTTGTGAGTGATGCGAGAGACATACCTGGTGCTGGAAGCGTGCGGCATTGGCTGCTATCTGCTCGTACTTCGGGAGAGCTGTTGTCGTCATCTTCGGCATTGTAGTCTAGGCTAGATAGGATCTGCGATCTGTAGTCTGGGCGCCGAGCGCCAGATAGGATATCAACATTGGTTCTTCGTTGATGATGATGAAGAGACTATTCCAGCATTGTCAATTATGAGCTTTCGGTGTGCTCTTATTTGGTGAAACTCGTGATGCAATTCTGCTATTGGTTCGAGATCACGACTATCTGGTCTTATGTGTATGATGCTGTTTGATTGCTGAAGTTTACTATTGCTCATCTTCCTTGCAATATGGGATTCGAATCCAAAAATAGTATTGGCAATTGCGACGAGTAACCGAATTGTCTTCTTCGTATAGGCGGCTATGGCTGCTCACACGCAATGCAGGTAACGTATATTCTCTCTTTGCTCGGATTACAACTACTCTCAGGTTCCTCTCAGAATGTCTTCCGCTCTCATTCGTTTGTCTTTATCTCTCATACTGTAGCTATGGCGCTGGGCGTCGTTGACAACCCTAACACTAAGCTCACTTCCCCTTGCTCAGTCGTGGCATCAACACACAAGGCCAAAGCAGCGCTTCTGCATTGATCACAAAGCATACAGTGTTAACGTCTAAGCGTTGTTGGACTTGATTATCGGCTGCAGTCCGATGTTTTGACCCACGTCCCTGCAGCCACAGTAGTCCTCCAATGAAAGTTTCGGCCTTCTGGAATTAACTGTGAGTGACAACGTTCAGACGGGCAGACTTCCAGGGACTTCCATAAAAGTAGCTGTCGAATTTTGTGTGGCCTGAATCTAAGCTATGGGCCTCTACGGCATGAAACTGTCGATTTTTGTATGGCCTGAATCTAAACTACGGGCCTCTATGACATGACCTACCAGATGGGACTTGGTACGGTGGGAAACTGGGATTAGATCGGAACTACTGAGATCCGTTGAATCCTTTCAACATAGTAAGGATATTCTTTCCATTTAAAAAGGACTCCCAAAATACCTGAAAGAATATAATTATATTGAGTTATCCCCATTATCTGACATCCATAATCCGGTATTTGCATGCATTGGAATAATCCAGTATCCACAATCCGAAAAAAAAAAAGTAACTATTGCAATAAATTCATAATCTGGTATTTGTATTTACGGTTTATCTGAAATTTATCTCCATGATCCCGCATATTTGGAACCGTAATGAGATTCCCCTAATACTGCCCAGGTTGTTGTAGGGGTTGGATGTAGACTTAGATATGTTTGAACTCGACCATTTGGTTATCCCTACTGCAGAGCCCCTTCTACCTCCTATGCTTTTTCACCTGATATTGACCTCGCACAAGGCCTGGTTGACTGCTGCTGCTACGGGGAGTACTCTCTATCAGTCGCCAGTTCACCTCGAATACCGAGGACACAGCCAGTCAGTGGGATGGGCCTGGAATCTATCCAACAGTTATCCCCCTGTCCGCCGAGCAGACTCTAGGTGGAGTACCTGCCTATTCTACTCAGATGTGGTTAGCCTCCCATCCCTGCCTTTCCTGTCATAGTGCCCCTAAGGTAGTCCTATCTAGGCTATCTTAACCATCCAGTTACCCTTTTGGAACTCGTTCTCTAGGGACCTCATTATAAACAGCCATCAGGCATTGCTAGATCCTCTTTTCTCTTGAATCTCAACCTTGTGGTAGCGTGAGTGTCCTTCCTCCTTGTTGTTTCAACTCCCTGCACCACACACTCTTTAAGTGCTCCTAAGCTCTGTGGGTAAAGCCAGGAGTACAACTTGCCTACAGTTGCCATGTAGTGATTCGGGCTACTGACTCTACCATACCCCTCTTTTTTTAAGGACTGGAAGCATGCTATTTGCACCCAGACCCTGTCAAGAGCATAAGGTCTATAGCCTATACTTGAGCTGTGTGGGTATCGTCCAAGCTTGAAGAGTTCGACATGATTATACTACTTCCTAACCCTGCAAAGCATTCTTTAGTTCAAATGGATCCCTATTATCCTTTTTGTCGCGTGGACACTTGCCAAGTTCAGCAGAAGGGGGAACCGGCTGTGTCTGTTCTCACTTGAACCAGTATTTGATGCAGACAACCAATCCGATGCACGGGTGACCGTCATCACCCATGCTTCATTGTTCTTTCACCCACGTTATCCGTTGTGTTTCTGGCTACTCTCTCCGAGACGAATTCTTTTATTTGCCTGACAAATGCCTTTCTTGCATCTTCGTGGCCACCCCTTCCTTGTCATTCTGTTTCATTGGCCCGTCAAACATGTTTGGCTTCTCCAATGATGTTTCCAGCAACATTGTCTGCACCAGTCCCTTGAACATCATCTCTGGATCACATCAGTGACATCTTTGAGTCGCTTAAAATGACCTCTTCGTTCTTCAACCGTAGTCTTTCTTCATCTACCCTTTTCCACCCAGTTTCAATCTTCTCCAGTATTACCGTCACTCTCAGGTCCTGCCTTCGATTGCTTTATAGCCCCCCTGGTTAATGAGTAGCTCTGGCCCCTTGACTCGTCCCACACCCGGGCTTACCTTGCCCTCTAAGCCCTCTTTGCTTACTTTTTCCCTCCCTTCTGTGCTCCTTGTTATGCCTGCAGCCTTGTCGACGATCCTGACCCGCCCTGCTTCGGATTCGCTCCTGCTGTGCTTCATCTCCCTGTTGCCCATTAGAGTCACCTCCATCCTCCTCTACGGTCCAGTGATGTGATGTCCGTTGGTAGAGATCCCGCTTGAAGACAAGAAATCAATCTCAGCTTCTGTGCTTAAAGACATTCTCATCATCTGTGCTTGGAAGCAAGAGATCATTCCCCTCTTGTGTCCTGCCCTTGTCTGCATGATACAGCCGGCACCTAGCTTCCTGTCGTGAACTTTGGGAGTTGAAGGTCCGCCTTTGTCGATGGAGCATGACCGTGCCCGTGAGGGACATGAATGACAATATTCTTGAACAGTTATATTTCTCTTGATTCATGTTCCTGGTCACTCTGGGTTGTAGAATGGAGGTGTTATGGTTTGTGCTAACTCATGTCGACGTTTTTCTCGCGACCGATACATTGTGCAAGCTGAAGAACAGTGTTGCGACCACGTGCTCTCCCATGTGCAGAAACCCCACCCAGGCTGACCCAGCTGTAAAATTTAAGGTTGGTATGTTTATTTTGCTTACAGGTGCAGACCCAGCTGTGAACTGTCAGCACAGCTGGATTGGGGCCTCTAGACTGAATGCAGCAGGGGGAAGTTCCCCCTGGCTCTCTCAATTGTGTTTGTTCAGAGTATTCACCACTGCCTACAGTGGGAATTTGGACCAGAAAGGCATCAGAAGCATAAGCTAGGGAACAACTCTAGCAAAGGTGGAGAAGCCTTGGACTCCCCACCACTTCCTCTAATCTTCTTTTTTTTGTTCAGACAAAAAAAATAACTCCACCTTAGAACGGCCATGCACCACCACCCACACTATCAAGAAAGAGCACAAGGTCATCTATTCAATCCAGTAAAGGGTTCAACTCCTTGGTGCCAATATTCCTTGGTGCCAGCCAATGCCGGTCTGGAGGCTCGGTGCACGGAGGACTTGAGGCATTGGGCAATGTGAAGGCCATTGAATCCCACGCCCCTGCAGAAGAGTAAAGCTCCAAGCATGGAGGGTGATTCTGAGCCAAGAAGCCCCGGTGGTATGAAAAGGGTTGTGTCCTGTGCACCTGAAGCATGGGCACTTGGTAGTTTCTGTTGCTTGGCTCCAGCAGATCTCGGCTTTGAGCTCTTGCCAGTCCACCTTCCAAGAAGGATGGTGCTGTTTTCATCTGTATGAGCTTGCATAGTCAAGTTCATCACACAGGTTCTACCAATAAGAGTAGGCAAAGAGGAAGAAAGGGGCAGAAACGAGAGAGTTTGTCTAATGGACTGGTTCCACTGTATGAGGTGTAGGGCTGTGGTAGACAAATCTGTGACACGTTCTGGACGCCTGGCTGGCTCAGAGATTTAAAAATCCCTCCGCTTGGATGCCTGGAGATGTATATTACTAGGATTATGCATTGGGTTTTATGGTGTTCCTCTTTGCCCCCTCGTTCACTCTTCGCTCTTCATCTGTTTCCGGTTTCCTTCAGCTATTGCAAGTACTTGTACGGAGGATGTACTCAAATGCGAATATCAATCTCAATGTATTTTGGATAATACCTTTGCAGTCCATCATCCCAGAATGTGTTTCTTTCTCGCTGGTCTCAAGTTTCTCACATCTGGTCATCTTAAGGCCCTACATCACAGACATTTAACTTGTGTTTTGGTGCTGCTATGGCCTTTGTCATTGCTGTGACTGTGCAGGCCCCAACACCACCAAGCTGCCTGCGTACCCCTTATGGGGCGGCAAGGCTTACTGTTCCCGCGAGCTTTGTATGCGGTTCTGGGAATGGTGAGCATGATGATGGGGGAGATGATTGTGAGGACCTACCTTTTGCTGTTGATGATCTTGAGACAGAGTCACAGCGTAGCAGGTGCGTGATCTGTGTATTGCAGTGAATCATGGCTCAACACAGGACTTCGAAACATTTTAGACCAGTAGAGGAGAAAAGATACATCCTTGGCTATTGTAATGAACCCAGACTGGAAGATACTCATCAGACGTCAAAATGCAAGACAACACAGATCTTGCAGTAACCCTGTTCAGAAGTAGCCTGGGGCCCAGAACTCAGCCCCAGGCAACGCAGACCTGAGTTGGTCTGCGCTGGGCTGGGTGACCAAGACACGCCCAGGCCTGAGTCTGTCACGTTTGGCTGTGTGACCGAACACTGCACACAGGAAATTCAAGGGTCAAAGTCAACTGTAGAGTCAAAGGTACCGCACCCAGGCCCTTGCTTGGATACACTCACTTGTTGTGCGCAGGTACCCAGACAAGCATCCAGGCCGAAGGGAATTCGGTTTGAGACCAATCTGGGCCTTAGTTTGCATCATACTTGCGGCGCATCCATGCGCTGCGCGATGCGGTGCGGTGCGCAGCGCGCCGTGCGCCGGTCGGGAATGCGCGCATTCATGCGCAATGCGCGCGCATCGATGCGCAGTGTGCAATGCGGGATGCGCTGCGCGGCACTTGGATGCGCAGTGCGCCAGTGCGCCGGGGCGTGCGCATGCCACGCGCTTTTGCGCGCATGGTGCGCTCAGGCATGGAGGGAAGGGGAGGACAATGACAGAGGGAGGAGGAGATGGGTGACGAGGGAGGGAATGGAGGAGTGAGGAGGAGATCAATAGCGACGCAGGAGGAGGAAGGGAGAAGGGCGGAGGGAGGACGACACCGATGATGGAGGGAAGGGGAGGACAACGACGAAGGGAGGAGGAGATCGATGACGAGGGAGGAGGAGATCGATAGCGAGGGAGGAGGGGGAAGGGAGAAGTGTGGAGGGAGGGCGACGTCGATGATGGAGGGAGGGGGAGCAGTGGTGCTGTGGCATACTGTGCAGCCACACGGGCCCTGCAGGGCGCGTCCCGGACCTCCAGCCTGTTTCCCTACAGGGAAACTTCCAGGCTCTTGCCTGGAAGCTTCCTTCTGACAGGGCCTACAGGCCCCAGCCTGTTTCCCTACAGGGAAACTTCAGGGAACTTCCAGGCTCTTGCCTGGAAGCTTCCGCAGGGTCTAGGCCAGGGAGGCATTGGCACGGCCAGCCTCCTGCACGGGCCAGCACTATAAAGGACTGGCCCGCCCTGCAGGAGGTAGTAGTCTGTAGGCACTTGTAGTCTTCAGGATTTCGGCCGCAGCACTCAGGAGGAGCGCTGCAGTAGTCTTCAGCGCTAGGCAGTAGTGGTAGCGCTAGGAGTAGTCTTCGGCGCTGGGCGCTATAGCCATAGTGGTCGTCTTCAGCTCTGGGCGCTATAGGGCAGGGTAGCAGTATCGGAGAGAGACACTGGCGGAGGCCAGTGGTACTTATCTGTGGCACCATCGCTCCAGCTCCATCCTCGGTGTACCTGCATCAAGACGCCAGTTTTACAGGTTAGTATTGGACTGAGAGAGAGAGAGAGAGACCTTCTTCTTCCTCTTCTAAGTCCACCATCTCTTCTTCCCCTCCCGCTGCCTGCCTCTCAGCATCTATGGGCTACGAGATGGAGCTTTGACACGGGACATGACGACATTGTCATCAGACTTGATTCCGGGATACAGACATTCGTTGAGGATTATTTGGGACCTGTGACGCAGACTTGGAGTTGACGATATCTCCCATCTTCTCCTCTCCCTCCGTCTCTTCCCTTCCCCCTTCGTCTGTGTATGTTGGGGTCTGGCGCTATCTATTCTGTGTGAGCGCCAGCCCAGCGCCAGCCCTTCACACCACTGTATGATGATGATAAATGTCGGGACTGTACTGCAACATTGATTGAGTCGGATCGTTGATAAGTCTTCCGCTCGCCATCTTGTACTTTGAAATGAAAGGTCGGTCCTTGTTCTGTTTTGCATGATCTAGTATGGAACAAGTGCACTACTGAAAATTTCATATATGAAAAAAAAAAAGAAAAAAAGGACGACATGATGGAGGGAGGGGGACGACAGCGATGGAGGGAGGAGAAGATCGATGGCAAGAGAGGGAATGGAGGAGGAAGGAGGAGATCCATAACGAAGGAGGAGGGCGAAGGGAGAAGGGCGGAGGGAGGACGACGCCGATGATGCATGAGGGAGGGGGAGGACAATGACGGAGGGAGGAGGAGATCGATGACGAGGGAGGGAATGGAGGATGGAGGAGTTCAATAGCGAGGGAGTAGCGGGAAGGGAGAA